ATTGTTGTGAATGGGTTAAGGAGTAAGGAATTAGACCTGAAGCATGCTAGGGGTAGTTCTAGTCAGTCCAGGGACTCCGGTGAGGCTATGTTTGTTAGGGGTAGATCTAAGGGTAGGTCTAAGAACTCTAAGCAAAATAGTCAGGGTAAGAACACTAGTCAGCCTGGGAGGAAGAGGAGCAAATCTAGGAAGAGAGTGTGTTACAATTGTGGTAACACTGGCCATTTCATTAAGGATTGCCCCCACCCTAAGAAGACCGAGCATGCTAGTGTAGCTGTTGATAAATGTGACCTTGGTGATATCTTGATGGTTTGTGACCATGTTAATTCTGTGAGAAATTCCCTGTCTGAGCATGAATGGTTGATTGACTCTAGTTGTACCTATCACATGTCCCCCTTTAGAGATTTGTTTTCTACTTATGAATTATGTGATAGTGGCTACGTTTCCTTAGCTGATAATAAGAGATGCAATGTGCTTGGTGTTGGTGATATATGTCTGAAGTTTTCTTGTGGCTCTGTATTTACCATTAAGAATGTGAGCCATGTCCCTGATTTGTGTCATAACTTGTTATCTGTTGCTGCTTTGGAGAGTAGTGGGTTACAGGGAAAATGGGGGAATGGTTGTATGAAAATCCTGAAGAACTCGCTTGTTTTGTTTAAAGCTGAGAAAGTGAATAACCTTTATGTGTGTCATGCTAAACCTTTTGCTGAGTCTGTGAATGTTGTATGTTCTGATAAGACCTCTTTGTGGCATAATAGGCTAGGACATATGAGCAATAAGGGTTTAGATGTCATGCGTAGGGCTGGTTATTTTGGTAAGGACTCTGTGACTTCTGTGCCTTTCTGTGAATCATGTGTGTTAGGCAAGCAGCATAGAGTCAGCTTCCCTCCTTCCTCTTACCCTAATCTGTCTAAGTGTTTGTCTGTGCTTGAATATGTTCTTGCCGATGTTTGGGGTCCTGCCAGTGTTCCTACCCACGGGGGTAGGAAATACTTCCTTTCTATCATTGATGATTTCTCTAGGAAGGTGTGGGTTTGCCTTTTAGAACACAAGTCTAATGTGTTTGTAAGGTTTAGGGAGTGGAAAACCCTAGTTGAAAACCAAACTGGCAGGAAGGTTAAAACCCTTAGGACCGATAACGGGTTAAAGTTCTGTAATAAGGAGATGGATAAGCTGTGTGTGGATTGTGGGATAAAAAGGCACAAAACTGTGCCTTATACTCCCCAACAGAATGGGATAGCAGAGAGAATGAATAGGTCTCTGTTGGATAAGGTTAGAAGCATGTTAGATACCTCTGGTCTGTCTAAGAAATTCTGGGGTGAAGCAGTCACTACTGCTGCCTATTTGGTTAATAGGTCCCCGTCTGTCCCTCTTGGTGGTAAGTGTCCTGAAACCGTCTTTACCGGTAAGCCTCTTGATCTGTCTAACCTTCGGGTGTTTGGTTGTGCAGCGTATGCACATCAACAGGGTGACAAGTTGGATCCTAGGTCTAAGAAATGTGTCTTCCTAGGTTATCCAGAGGGGGTAAAGGGTTACAGGTTATGGGATAGGAACCAGGTAGGCTTTAAGGTGGTCCTTAGCAGAAATGTGGTGTTTAACGAAACTGATTTTCCTTGCTTGACCGAGCCTGCTTCTAATCCTGAGTCTAGGTCTGATAGTACTCCTAGTGAGGTGGAGTCTGTCCCTGTTGCTGCTAATCCTTTATCTGTTGATCCTGTTATTTCTGATGATATTGTTATGCATGATTCTGATTCCTCTGAGCATGTTAGTCCCACTACCTCGAGTGAGGTGGAGCATTTGCATGATACTGAGCATGATTTGCATGATATGGGTGCTGAATCTGATTTTCATGATAACAATAATTTGCATGAGTTGCATGTGGAGCCTAGCAGTGATAATTTGCATGATTATCAACTGGCTAGAGATAGGAGTAGAAGGGCTATCAGGAGAACTGCTGATAGTATGCCTGATTATGCTTTCATTGTGCATGATACTTCTATGTTTGCATTTTCTGTGTTTGAATCCCTAGAGCTGAATGAACCCAAGACCTACCGTGAAGCCTTAGGTTCCAAAGAGTCTCAGAAATGGATTAGTGCCATGAAAAGTGAGATGGACTCTTTGAGAGTGAACCAGACTTGGACCCTTGTACCTAGACCCCCCAACTGTTCGGTAGTTGAGTGTAAGTGGTTGTTTAAAGTTAAGGAAGAACCTAGTGATGTTAGGTTTAAGGCTAGGTTGGTTGCGAAGGGGTTTACTCAAAAAGAGGGGGTAGATTATGCAGAAATCTTTGCTCCTGTTGTTAAATTCACCACTATTCGTATGATGCTTGCTTTAGTTGCTCACCATGACTGGGAAATGAAACAAATGGATGTAACTACTGCATTTTTGCATGGTGAATTGGATAAAACAATTTATATGACCCAGCCTGAGGGCTTTGTGGATCCCAAGAGAAGTGAGCATGTTTGTTTGCTTAGGAAGGCATTGTATGGCCTGAAGCAATCCCCTAGGTAGTGGAACATCAAATTTGATAAATGCATGATATCTTTGAAGTTCCAAAAATCTGTTTGTGATCATTGCCTGTATTTCAAAAATACTTCTTCTGTGCCTGTATTTTTGTTACTCTATGTGGATAACATGCTGATAATTAGTCCTTCTCTGAATGCTATTAAAGATGTGCAAAAATGTCTTTGTGCGAATTTTGCCATGAAAGACCTAGGTGATGCCAAGAGGATCCTAGGCATAAACATTGTTAGGGATAGGAGTAAGCGTACTCTTACTTTGAATCAGATTTCTTACATAGAAAAAGTTTTGAGTAAATTCAATATGTTATCTGCTTCTCCTGTTAATGTCCCTATGGCATCTCACTTTGTGTTAAGTAAGGACCAGTCTCCCAAGACTGCTCCTGAAATTGAGAAAATGAAATCTGTGCCTTATTCCAGCGCAATAGGGTCGGTGATGTATCTTATGGTTAGCACTAGACCTGATATTGCATATGCGGTTAGTTGCTTGAGTAGATATATGTCCAACCCTGGTTTGCCTCATTGGAATGCTCTTAAGTGGTTGCTTAGATATCTGATTTCTACTGTGAAGCATGGATTAATTTTCAATGTGCTAGTGGTATTGAATTGATTGGTTATGTTGATTCTAACTATGCAAATGATAGAGATAACAGGAAGTCGACCACTTCTTATGTTTTTACTTTGTGTGGCTCTTGCATTAGTTGGAAGTCTCAACTACAGCCTATTGTGGCCCTTTCTACCACTGAGTCCGAGTATGTTGCAGCCACAGAAGCGTTTAAGGAAGCCATCTGGCTCAAACGCCTTGTCTCCGAAATTGGGTTTCTCAAAAAGGGAGTTACCATTTTCTCGGATAGCCAATCGGCTATCCAACTTTGCAAAAACCCTGTATTTCATGATAGAACTAAGCATATTGATGTTAGGTTCCATTTCATACGTGATATTGTTGATGCAGGTGGAGTCAAGCTGTGCAAGATCCCGTCGGAGTTTAACCCCGCGGATATGGGTACCAAGTGTCTTTCTGCTGAGAAGCACTTGTCCTGTAAACGCGTGTTAAACTTTGATTGTGGATAACTGTGGGTTGCCTAATAAAGTGTTTGCCCGTTGTGTCTGTTGATATTCCGGGTGACCCGGCGATGATGAGTCTTGTCACAATCTTGTATTGTTACTCTACACCACCTAGAACCAATAAGGTGGAGAATGTTGGAGGTATTGGTCCTACCAAGGCCTCCCTTCCACTTTATTATTGATTTACACCCTAAGTTTACTCCCACTAAGCTATACCTTATTTTACCTCACTTATTGGCTGTTGACTTATCTATTGGTTGGCCCCTATTCTGTCCGCTGCACACCTTTGTTTGTGTAGTCCGTGAGTGTCCCTTGTTTCCCTCACCCGTGACTTCCAACTTGCTTGGCAGCCTATTAGTAGTCCTCTTCCTTCTCCAGTTGAAGGCAGCCTGCGAGAGATACTCCCTAGAGAGCAGTGCTCTACTTCTTCTTCCTTTCCTTTGTGTGAGAGTGTGAGAGAGGTTACTTAGTGGTAGAGATGGAGCTTAGTGGTGAAGAGGTCTAGCCTAGTGTGGTGTATGTGAGTCTTTGTGTAGAAAGACCTGAGCCGGAGACGGAATCCGATCCTAACAAACTTGATAAACTAAGCTTCGATTTTTTAGAAGGATCATAAAACCGCTCTCTGATCTAGCCTTAAGAATAAAAAAACACACTCTTTAGCTAGCTTAGAAGTTTTCCCGTCTAAGAAGCTGTTCTCCTCGTCTTTACTCTAGGAGACGTCTGGGGGGTTGAAGTAAACTAGGTTGAAACTCACCCCATTGAGTTTCGAACCTGAGACCTCCCATAGAGAGTGAGTCGGCGACCAGCTGAGCTGGACCGCTTCCTCTAATTATAGCTATATTTATAACTAGTGTAATACGTATAATAATAATTATACCTATTATAATTATTATAATTATATTTATATTTTTTTTATAATTATGATTATAATTATAATTATATTTAAATTATATATGTGTAATTACATTTCTAATTATTATAATAAAAATTAAAATTATAATTATAATTTTAGAAATATTTAAATCAGACCAGATCAGAAGGATTCAGATCAGATCAGAAGGATTCAGATCAGATCAGAAACATTCAGATCAGATCAGGAACATTCAGATCAGATCAGGAACATTCAGATCAGATCAGGAACATTCAGATCAGATCAGGAACATTCAGATCAGATCAGGGACATTCAGATCAGATCAGACCAGATCAGAAAGATTCAGATCAGATCAGATCAGATCAGAAACATTCAGATCAGATCAGATCAGAACTTAAAAAATTCAGATCAGAAACATTCAGATCAGGTGAAGAGAACAGCTTCTAAGTTTGAAGTTTCGTCTCCTCATAAGGCGGGTCTGATAGACTGATATTCTACGGAGTAGGTATTTTTGTAGACAAATAATCAAATATTTAAATTAGATGACATAAACTAACTCTTTCATTACATTCAACATTTCATATGAGAGGTAATTACTTTGCATTTTAGCACACCCTCTAACCGAAACATTCTGAGTTTATGCTTGCTTGCTTGCAAGAGATCGGAGCAAATTAATTAATTAATCATTGCACAGTTTCTGAGTTGGTTTTAGGAATGACTTGCTGAGAATCAGAGCTGCTTGCTTCTTTCATGTCTCTTGCTTTTCCCCATAACACCACGTATAATCCGAATACAATCACAAATCCACCCAAAATGCTGCATAATGCATTACATTTTCAATTTACATCACATTCAGATTAATTAGAGAAAGCGGTTATAGATTAACAAAAAAAAACGATGCATGGTAAAGGAAAGCTATGAATTTCTGCAGAAAGATGTAATTACATGTTTATGACTAAAATAAACATTATTTAAAAAAATGTGACCAGTGATCAAAGTAGTGATCTATGTTGCACGGATACGGATACGCCGATACTCGGATACGCGGATACGGGTACGGGGATACAGCACTTTCAAAAATTATAGGATACGGGTACGAGGGTATATTTATAAATAATAAAAAAATATAGGGTATAATTTGCAAATATATATAATTCAGGGGTTCATAAATAAAATAATAATAGTACAAAAAATTAACTATTATAATAAAGTTTCAAAGATTAGTCTAAAAAAACTAAAGTATTGATATTTTGATTTAAATTCAAATAACATTTTTTTGTTCTCTATTTGCATTTACATCTAAGTCTTGTTTCAATTAAAGCTCATCAAGCAATGAAATGACAAATTATAGTATTCCATTATTTTCCATACTCCCGAAACCATCTTTATCAATGTTCCACATGTTGTGGTCGCTTGGGCGGCTACTGAATTTTCGTCATGTCGTGTATCAAATGAGGGGTTATAGGTTCGGATACGCGTATCGGTTCACGGATACGGGTATCGGAAGTATCGATATTTTTAAAATTAAGCTCGGTACTTTTATTAAATTACAGATACGGACCCAATACGTACAGGACGCATATCGGTGAGTATCGGATACGGATACGTATCGGATACGCGGATACAACATCGAGGTGAAGTATCGGTGCAACATAGGTAGTGATGTAATGATGTAATCATAGTCACTTATGTTCATTTTGTAAGCTTAAGTTAGCATATCCCATGAGACTACATTGTACACTTGTAGTAACTATTAGTCATACTTTTGTAAATAAGGTTTAACTGTTTGATTTTGATAATACTTTTGAAAAAAACCCATTAAATTACGAACATACTTATTTCTTATTTGTAATTAATTACCTTCCAAGATGTAACGTTTCATTGAGCAACAATGAGCATGTCAAAGCCACGAACACCAATATTAAAGGATTGAAGATGGACACAAACAAGGGCCCGCTTTTATTCGCGCACCACGTCATCAGAATTAATACGACTCCCGATCCTATAACTCCCTGTGCGTATGTATAATCAATATATATATATAAAAGAGGAACTTTTTAAGAGCATACAAAGCGCCACATAATCCTGCCATGTCATTATATATATTACGTAGTAATTATTTAGTTAATTTGTACCTTCTATTTTTATTAGCTAGATTCTATTTTTGATTGCATATTGATATGGAAACAAAAATCCGTAGAAAATACTATATTAAACAGACTCTATTTTAGGCTAAGTTTATATATGACAAGTATTCTTAGCCAAAAATATAATACATTTTAATTTCTATAACAATTAAATGTTATAGTATACGTTTAGGCTTAGAATTATGTGTTAGAATTATACATTTTAATTCCATTATAACAATTCAATGTTATAGTATACGTTTACACGTTTAGGCTTACAATTTAAAAAAAACATGCTCTATATTTAGACTATTTTACTTAATATATACTCCGTATTAAATTTCTGTGAATATCCATCTTCATAAGATTATATTAAACGTTTAAAATCGGGTTCATAGCAATTATATTTACTCGAGATGCTTATGTAGAAAATCAATTTAACTATTTTTCATATAATCTTTTTCTGGCTTCACAAATGGAATATATTTTACATATTTTTTCATGATTCCACTCATTTAGCTCATTCAGTCATAATTTAATCAATTTGAGTAAAATAAGTTGATTCAATTTATTTTAGTATTATCAAACATGCTCTATATTAGACTAAGTTTACTTTTCTTTTAAATCACATTACATATAATCCGAAAGAAATCAAATTTCAAATTAGCTAAATTACATCTGCCCGTGCATCGCACGGGCTTGAAAGCTAGTAACCAACTAATTAAAAAATAACCATGCATTAATATATTTACCAAAACGTAATTAATACGTGTTCATCGGTAAATAATTAGAGTTTTTTCCCGGAATAATGCTAATTAAATAAATAATTCCCAGAATACTGCTGAGTTAAGAATAATTCCCAAAATACTGATGGGTTAACCACGGTTAAGGAAAGCCGCCACTCCAAGTGGTGGCTCTTGTACAGCTTCACAAAAACTGTCACTCCTAGTGGCGGCTCTTGTACTGCTACACAAGAGCCGCCACTTGGAGTGGCGGCTCATTAATTCAGAAGTTAAAACACTCCCCCTTGATGAACGATTACTCTCTGCAGCAACCCACCTCTTCTCTGTAACAACCAAACGACAAAGGAGCTGTGCAACAAAGGTTCCCAATCCGGTCGGAACTCGTCCAAACGCTGCTCGAATCCAAGGGAAAAGAGGCGCGGTGTACCGGGATCGTTTGAGCTCCCTTCAACCGTCAATAACCGTTTGAATCGAGGTATTTCATCTTCTTTGCTAAACCTAGGTTTTTTCTTAATTTTGCTCGAAATTGTTGTTGTTTAGCTAAAATATTTGAATAAAAAAATAGGAGTACAAACATTATTATTAATCTTGTTATTATGATTGAATTTATATAATTTGTAAAATTAGAATTATACCAACTTTCACCATTTTTGTAAAGCTAGGTTTTTTTTAGTTATTGCTCGAAATTGCTTGAAATTGTTATTGTTTTGTTCAAAATTGCTGTTGATTTGCTCGAAGTTATTATTGTTTACCTGTTTATTAACGGATTTTGCTTTTCTTTTACTAATTAACTAGTGTTAATTAATCATGTGTTAATTTGTTGCTTTTTCATTACTCTATTTTTTTGCCACTGGTTAATTATTATGAGTCCTAATTTAATGGTATGAAATCGTAGTATGTATCTATGATCTAATACTTTTCGTTTGAATTATAGTAATTGTAGTTGAATTTTCAAATAGCGGCATACGTCATACTTTTTTTGGAATTATTTTTTTTGTAGAATATGTCTAGAAACTTCTCCATTGTTTGTCAATGGGGAGGAAATATTATCGAGGAGTCAAACAGAATTCATTATGAAGGAGGGATTCAGAAGATAATTGTTGTTTCCCGTGGGGTGGATCTTGCTGAAATAATGAATAAAATTTATGCCGCCACATCCATCAATCGTATGAACAAGTTGGATTTGAAGGTTAAATATCCCATGCATGGTGGATCATACATGTTGATTCCTCTTGCTGACGACGAAGCCGTTACAGGAATGTGGACTGTAATCGAGAATCTTGATATGCATACCATGGAGATATATGTTGAAGAAGTGGCGGTGTTGCCCATACAACCTGGCCACCCGCCATTGTCTTGCCCATCCACAAGTGTTCCAGTTGTGATGAATATGGTTACACAGGAGAATGGAAGATACGTGAATAGTGATGCAACGTTTCTGCATTCACATTGCAATGATGACGATGCAGATGAAAATATGAACCATGACACACTAACAGATTCAGATGAAGATGGTGGTGATCTCGTAAGTGGCAATGCATCATCCAACCACTACACTAAAGTTTATGAGCTCCCTGCGGGATTTGATGAATCATGGAAGGGTTGTACAACTTCTAGTCGCTTCTCTGCAGATGGTGAATTCGAGGTTGGGCAAGAGTTTGATGATAAGAAACAACTGATCAACATGGTTAGAGCGTACTCTGTAAAGAGGAACCAATTTTTCCCAGTTTATGATTTTTTTTTGTATGACGTACGTGAATCCCTTTTATATTCTTATACATTACTGTGTGTCAGATGGCTATTTGCTCATGTCACGCGCACGTCATCCGCTGCTGGATTAGGATACTACCGAGATGCTTCGCTTGTGTGATGATCAGGTATATCATTTATATCATTAAATGTAAGTACTTTGTTTTATGTTTTTATAAACCATGGTCTAACATAATTTTATATTATAGATGACGTGGATGTCGTACATTGATGAGATTCTAGTACTGTTGCCTCCTGTTGCCCGAGAGCACACTGAGATATGGCGAGCACGTGTGCCCTTGATATGTTTTGATGTAGTGGAGCATCACTTTCCTGATCACGTACTACGTTAGTTCAGGTTGCAGCAGGTTACTCCCGGACCTTGTGATACATCTGTGGATTTGCACAAGATTGATAGACGGGGGAAGCACACTGAAGATTGGGGGATGCGCCATATTCAGTATATCACTATGTGGGATGAGAGAGCGGCGTATATAGTGGACGGGATCCCATCATTAGTCCTCACAGCTTCTGTAGACTACATGAGATGGTATCACACCATCACACGTGTGTTTATCTCTCCCAGTTTTCGTTTACCCACTGATCATTACCAGCCTAGCTCAGTCGCTCTTCATATGACAGTAAACAATATAGTTAATATAATATCTTTATTTATTTATTCATGTGTTTTTCACTAATAACCATGTTTGCATTACAGACACGGGCTTTGCGTAGCATCCATGACAGAGCGACTGCTGTACTTGATGAGGCGGTAGATGTACAGGGATACCATGACGCTTGTTCAGGCATTGTTTCACTGTGCACTGATGTATTGGGCCGAGTGGATTATGGATATATGGCCACCTCTCAGCATTCCACCGCATCTGCATCCGCAGCAGGGTCTTCTCAGGCAGTCCGACGTGATAGAGTTGTTCTTCAGCCTCGTAACCAGCGCAGGTGTCCCCGAGCACAACCACATGAACTTCATGATGATGATGATCACGTTGACTTATGATCTTTGTATTTAAATTATTGAGTGAAAGTTGTAGGCTTGTAGCATGCACTGACAGATCGAATCATTTTGTGAAACACCAGATTTATTATAACTTTTATGGTTTATTTCAAGTTTTGTGGTGCATTGATTCGTTTTGTGAAAGTTTCATAATATGAAGTTTCATTGATTCGTTTTGTGTTTTGGATGTATGTTGTCATGTAGTTTCATTGATTCGTTTTGTGTTTCGGGTGTATTTTGTCTTAGTATATCATATGTTTGGTTGTTTTTTTGAGTAGAATGGACTGTGAGTCTGTGATGAGCAGATTTTCTGGTAACTACAGATTTAGTTGTGTAAATAATGGTGCAACAGCTTCCTTAACACAAGAGCCGCCACTTGGAGTGGCGGCTTTCATACAGCAGTATATGAGCCGCCACTCCAAGTGGCGGCTTTTGTGAAGCTGTACAAGAGCCGCCACTTGGAGTGACGGCTTTCCTTAACCGTGGTTAATTAACCCCAACAGTATTTCGGGAATTATTCTTAACCCGGCAGTATTTTGGGAATTATTTATTTAATTAACATTATTCCGGGAAAAAACTCAAATAATTACTGACAAAGCGTAATATGAAATATAAATAGGGTGGTAGTTAGTTAGGATGTTTTTACTTGGACTGTAATTTGTCCCAGACCAGACCAGACCAGACCAGTTCACACCAAACCAGACCAGACCAGACTTGGATAGTTATAAAAATACAAAGAAACCAGACCTTACCAGACCAGACCAGACCAGTTCAAACCAGACCAGACCAGACCAGATCAGACCAGACCAGACCAGCAAAGTAAAAACATCCTTATTCATACCATGAAAAGAACGACGAATAATCTGATATTCCAACCAAGCTTCCAGCCAGCCTCTTCTCTCGAAATGCATAATGCGAACACAGAAGTCTGAATCGTCCCCATGAAACTCATCAATGCGCTACTCGAGTAATGGCATGGATAATTCTTGCTTATCTTTGCCTTTCAAACAAATTAAACCCACCATTTATTTATTTAAACATTAAAGCATAACAAAGATATAAGGATGTTTTCTTTTGGACTGAAATTTGCTGGTCTGGTCTGGTCTGATCTGGTCTGGTCTGGTCTGGTAAACGTCTGGTCTCTGTGTCTTTTATAACTACGGAAGTCTGGTCTGGTCTGATCTGATCTGGTCTGGGACTGAAAACAGTCCAAAAGAAAACATCCTAAATGCATGGAATCATTTTTGAATTACATAGTTCACCAGCCACAATAGCTAGGGGCGGGTCACTGCTCGGGCCCGACCGGCCCTGACTCCGGAAGCTCGGTGACTCCGGAAGCTCGGTTTTGCAATTCAGGGGGTTGAAATTGATTTTGCTTTTGTTTCTTTTTTTAAAAGCAGAAGTAGAATCAAAATCTCATTTTAAAAAAATAGTCTCCCCCTTCCCAAAAAAGTCTCCCACAACTTTTTAAAACCTGCTTCTAAGAGTATTCGAGGGGCCTTAAGAATTAAGTATTTTTCACTTTCACCCCAAACACTCCAATATTTGATTCTGCCCCCTCAAGGAGCAGAATCAGTTTTAAAAAGCAGGACACAACACCCCTTAATTTGTAAACAAACGGAAACTGAAAATTAAATCAGGCCCGCATTATTCTTACAATGTTCTTATGTGAAACTATACCACTTAAAAGACTGTTTTTTTGCAAGACCGTTAATTTTATTCTTCACTAAAGAAATACAAGCAATTCAGATATGATTAGACAAAATTAGATTTAAACAAACCAGATCACATACCAGAAAATTTCACTCCAAATTTGAAACCTCTTAATACATCATAAATTCATAATAACATGGTGGAGTAATTTTTAATAAGGTTACTTACCAAGAGCACTATCCACAGTGCATAACAAAAGCATGACATGAGTGTAATGGCTGCACCCAAAGTGAAACTACCAGAATTGCCCTTTGACGACGTCACAGTGTTACCATGTGGGTGAGAGAGGTGAAATAAGTCAACGTTGGACCTCCATATATGAAACTCTGGCCCTCGGTACAACGTTAGGAGCATCGCCCCACTTAAACATATCAGCGTCCCTATCGCTTTTGCCTTGCCGCTGCCTTGATCGAACTTCATTTTCTCCATTCTATCATTGTTTACATCATTATTAATTAATTAATAGTGTAAAGGTTCCAATTCCAATTCATTTTAAAATTCAAACTCATGGCATAGTGGCATGTACCCCCTCCACAACTTCCCCGGAAGAAAGACAGATTCTCTCATGTTTAGGAAAAACTTTTCCATTTAATATGGGATATTTATGGGCGTATTATAATATAAAATATATAGTCCATTTTCCTAACTATAATCAAAAAACGTATATCCAAATACTACATCCGTTCTTAAATAGTTGTAATATTATAAATTTTATATTATTCACGTAATCTTTTTTAAAGTTGATTTAAAAAATATAATTAAAATCTTCTCACTTTAAATCTTCAAAATGAGATTTTTTGAATTTCCTAAAATTAAAAAATTTAATACGAAGTATATTAATACTCAAAGTTGTGCGTGTGCAAACATAACAAAAGAAGCGTTTGCAACTAAAAAAGAATAAAGAAAGTACGTAGTGCTCCGTATGTTTTACTTACAATATGAAGCCCGGACTTATCAAAAATAGTTTCCAGTTCCCTTTTTGGGCCGCCCAAAAAATAATTTTAATTTTTCGTTTTTGGAAAATTTTGTGTGACTATCATTCATTTATCTTTTCCTTACTCAAATAGAATCATACATTTCAACTTTATTTCTACTTTCTTAAATTCCGATCCAAATCCTCGCGGGAACTATTTTATGAGAAGATGGAAGTATTAGAAGGCCCTACGAGCCACATACTATCCGCGTTAAGAATCATTGATATTCTCTTTTAGCAATAGTGCCTATTATATACTCCCACTTTTTTAAGTTATTGTCTTTCGCTTGCGTTGTTGCACAACTGAAATCCTAATTATGCTCCTTGTGAATACAACTCGTGATTAAGGCTATGCCTTTCACCTTTTGTACTCTGTAAAGATTTCTAAAAGCCGTTTATGTTTGACATGACAATTTTTAAGAGCATTTTAAACAATAAAAGTTTTTTTTGAGATACTACAAGAAGTAGCATTTGAGAAAAATACGTGACGTTTAGCATAGATGAGTCCAAATAACTTGTATACCAAACAAAACTAAATCAAATACAACTTTTTTACCAAATAGCTATCATCTTTTCTTTTTAGAATCTTTTTTAGTCACTAACTAAAAGCTAACAATTATTAAAAAACATACAAAAATATTTTTTCAGCTAATTGTGTCAAACATATCCTAAAAGTTACTAACGTTATTATTAAAAGTTTATTTAAGGTTCAATAACACCCGGTAACTAGAAGCCGGCCGTCGATCGATACACAGTGTGACAAGTTTATCCAAAAAAACTAGCGAAGCAATGGATGTTACCTTAGAAGGATTGCAACAACGAAGGTCAATGAGGGGATAATGTTGTAAATTGCTGTGGCAAACGTTGCAGATGTTAAGTGTTGGGAATAACAGGATCGTGCTAATATGAGAGAAAAACACTTCTATTACTTTCAAGAATAGAAAGAAGAGACATACAAGCTCTAACTAAAAACTCTCAAAACACCTCACATATCTCTCAAGGATATTCACAACTCAAACTTGGTTGTGGTATTCTAATCTATGATCTAAATTGCTTGATGATAGAAAGACTCTCCAAGCTCTCTATTTATAGCACCAAAACTAGGTACTAAGAAGGTGGGAGGAAGATGGGTGGAAGCTTAGGAGAAGCTTCAATGGAGGTGTGAGGAAGGTGGTTGCTTGGTGTGAGGAAACTTCCCAGAGACATACTTGCACATGGAGGAAGTTTCATGGATGTTGCTCACAATTGGATTCTTCAATTTGCTTGTACTTGGATATGACCTGGAAATTGAATTCTTCAATTCTCCCCTTCCAGGCATATTCAAAACAAGCATCCCGACTATGTCTCTGCACAGCTCTAGCTTATCTCGTGTCACCACCTTCGTCAGCATGTCTGATGGATTCTCCTTTGTATTGATCTTCACTAGTCTCAACAGTTGTTGATCAATCGTCTCCCGTATCCAGTGATACCGAACATCAATATGCTTTGTACGAGAATGGTACATGGAGTTCTTGCTTAAGTCTAAAGCACTCTGACTGTCACAATGTACCTTATACTCTTTCTGCTGGATCCCAAGTTCTTGGAGAAAGCGCTTTAGCCACAACATTTCCTTACCTGCTTCAGCAGCAGCAATGTATTCTGCTTCTGTAGTAGATAAAGCGACACACTTCTGCAATCTTGATTGCCAAGAAACGGCTCCCCCTGCAAAAGTGAAGATATATCCTGAAGTAGACTTTCAAATGATTTGGCAAAATGATTTGATGATGCTTCTCGGTGGATGGGATAAAATGATTTTACAGTTTAATTTCTTTTTTTTGTTTACTCCAGGGGGCGTCTGGGGTAGGGGCTGGGGGAGCCTGGAGTTATCTAGGCTGAAACTCACTCCATTGAGTTTCGAACCCGAGACCTCCCATAAGGGAGAGTGAGTTGGCGACCAGCTGAGTTGAACCGCTTCCTCTTTTACTGTTTAGTTTTACTAAAAAAAATCACTCATTCAGTTGATATATTATAACATTGGTTTAAAATGCATATTCAAATTTATTGAGTATGCCTTATATTTAAACTAATTATCTAAACATTATTCATTTTTTGTCTTGATTGTCTATTCTGATCGGATTTGTTCTGATCTGTATGATCCAATCTGGTCAGGTCATATCACCCAAGCATCTTTTTTTTACTCTTATTGTCAAACAAATTTATCTAATCCAACTTATAGTTCAAATGCAACATTTCAAAATTTTACATACATAATGTATAGTACTTTGTTGAATTCTAATCGAACACGACAAAGTTTTTAACAATTCTTAATTGTATTTTAAAAATCATTGGAAAAAGTATTTAAAATAAGAGTTCAAATAAATGTGTTATACATGTTTTACATTTGGAATACATGTACCTAAAGTTAATTACTCCTAATATATCACGCTGTATAATAGCTTTTTGTTACAAAAAGTAGATCACCTTCATAATTTTTTTTATCATCTTTCATATGACACCAATATTGAATATATAAAAATATAACATAATTTTTAAAGTGTTAAATTCATTTTTATTTTTTAAAAATATTTTTTTAAAGTGTTAAATTATTTTTCAAAATAGATAAATAAAAAGTGTTAAATTAGTTTTTTGTTTTTATATATTCAATATTGGTCTCATATGAATGATAATAAAAATTTATAAATTATGGTATATTTTTTGTAACCATCAAAACACAAATAAAAAAGTTATAGCACTTTAAAAAAATATGGGATTTTATTTTTTGAATTAGGTAGTTTTAGGAAGCTTTTTAAATTAACGTAATAGGACTTCTAATCCACCTTTTATACTCACAGAAATTGCCCTAAAGTTAAAATGTTTTGAAATTCTAAAATAAGACTATCATGTTTTTAATTCCCTGAATAGGAGTAATCTGCCAAGTTTAATTTGGGAAAAAATGTCATGTTTAAAGCCTAGTAATGCCAAACTTGGCAGAAATTTACTCCTATTCGATCAGGGAATAAAAAACTTGATAGTCCTACTTTGGAATTTCATAACGTTTTTACTCCCATTTAGGGAATTCTCTCTACTAATGTAACGAAAGTGTAATTAATCTACTAAATTGGAAAGAAAATCTAAAGTATTATATGAAAGTTTGTTTAAAAGATGACACATAACAAAACTTTCCATATTTATATCTTTGAAATGTATTATTTATAGATAAATTGATATTAAATGAGATTATTACTAGACATAATTACAAATGTATGACTAAAATAAGTGTAGTTTACAAAAATATGATTAGTGATTAAAATAGTTACTTAGTTATGGTAACTTACGTTCAATTTTACACACAAGTAAGTGACTATGAAATTATAGTATAGTAACTATTACTCACATTTTCGTAATTAAGTTTTATTTTAGTGATATATGTAAAATCTCTTATTACTAACTGTGTGATAAAATATGAGTTTTGTTTGGGGTACACAAAATGTGTACACAAAATGTATACACATGTTTGTCGTTCACAGAAATTTTGTCTGTCACAAACAACATTTTTGTGAAGGACAGACATGTGTACACATTTTATGTACATATTTTGTGTACCCAATCATTTTTCATAAAATATTCAGATGTTTGCGAACAAATATACTCCGTATTCAACAGAGTTTACGAATAGTATCAATTGATATGACAGTATGGTCAAAGCAAAATTAGTACTCCGTAGTATGGATGGAGGAGTAGTCTAGTAGTACTTTATGTTTTGGTGTAGATATGGATGACGTGATACTAAGAAGCTGTTCCGTTCGTCTTAATCTTATTACTTATTACTTATTCTTATTTTATTCAGATCAGATCAGATCAGAAAGATTCAGATCAGATCAGAAAGATTCAGATCAGATCAGAAACATTCAGATCAGATCAGAAACATTCAGATCAGATCAGAAACATTCAGATCAGATCAGGAACATTCAGATCAGATCAGGAACATTCAGATCAGATCAGAAAAGTTCAGACATGATTTATCCCTTTTATTATAATAATAATTATAATAATATTAATAATAATAATAATTATTATTAATTTATTATTATTATTATTATTGTTGTTGTTATTGTAATTATTATTATAATTACTATTATTATTGATATTATTATTGTTGTTGTTGTTGTTGTTGTTGTTATTATTATCATCATTATTACTATGATTACTATGATTATTATTATTATTATTATTATGATATTTATTATTATCATGATTATTATTATTATTATTATTACTATTATGGTTGTTGTTGTTATTAGTTTTTTTGTTATTATTATATTATACGTAGTAATTACAATTAAAATTATAGAAATAAATATTATAATTATAATTAAAATTATAATTATAGAAATAATTATAACTAAAAATATAATTATTATTATAACGTTTTTTTTTGTTTACTCCAGGAGGCGTCTGGGGGGTCTGGGGAGGGGGTATGGGGGGCCCTGAAGTAAACTAGGTTGAAACTCACTCCATTGAGTTTCGAACCCGAGACCTCCCATAAAAGAGAGTGAGTCGGCGACCAGCTGAGCTGGACCGCTTCCTCTAATTATAGCTATATTTATAACTAGTGTAATACATATAATAATAATAATTATACCTATTATAATTATGATTATAATTATAATTATAATTTTTTTATAATTATGATTATAATTATAATAATATATAAATTATATATGTGTAATTGCATTTCTAATTATAATAATTATAATTATAATTATAATTTTAGAAATATTCAAATCAGATCAGATCAGAAGGATTCAGATCAGATCAGAAGCATTCAAATCAGATCAGGAACATTCAGATCAGATCAGGAACATTCAGATCAGATCAGGAACATTCAGATCAGATCAGGAACATTCATATCAGATCAGGAACATTCAGATTAGATCAGGAACATTCAGATCAGATCAGAAAGATTCAGATCAGATCAGATCAGAACTTAAAAAATTCAGATCAGAAACATTCAGATCAGGTGAAGAGAACAACTTCTAAATGATGAGAACAATTTTGTTCACCCTCATTTGAGAGGGTTATGTTCACCTCCACCCCTATTTGCGTGTCATGTGGCAAGGCAATATTTTACAATTTGGCAATTGTTTTATCTTTTTCTTTTTAATCAATTTTTTTTAAAAAAATATCAAACTTTTTCTTTTTTTACCATCTTTCATATGGTACTAATATTGTATATAATAAAATTAAAAAAAATCAACTAAAAATAGATATTTGGAAATAAATGAATTTTTTCTTCAAATTTTTATATATACAAAATTGATACCATTGGAAAGATCATTAAAAACTAAAAAATCTGATATGTTTTATTATAAAAAATAGACTACAAATAAAAAAGTTATAACATTTAAAAAAAAATGGGATGAAATGCCACATGGCAATCACAGAGCAAAGGGGGTTATGGTTATGTTCACCATCCTTAGTTGGGGTATACTACCTCCGTCCCTTAAAAATTTGCCAAAGTTGACCGGCACGGAGAATAATAAAGTAAAAACTGTGTGGTTTGAGGTTTGTGCAGAAGAGAGAGAAATAACAGAAACCACAAATAATTGACTAAAAGGGAAAGTGGCAAAGTTTTTTGGGACGTCCCAAAAAGGAAAGATTGGGCAAAGTTTTAAGGGACGGAGGAAGTACAAAATTGCACTCCTAAATGATTGGTGTAGCTAGAGAGGTTCACGAATAAATATTGGGATTGCCATTTGGTTAACCTTACGGTATAGTCTCTTCCTCTCTCCGTCTCATTTTATCTATCGTACTTTCTTTGTTGAATTGTCTCAAAATAAGTGTTCTCTTTTGAAAAAATATGTGATCTATAACATTTCACTTTATTATACTCAAATCTAAACCACAACTTTTTTTTTCAACCATTTCATTAATAATTGTGTCAAGTCAAAGTGAGACACATAAAATGGCATAGAGGTAGTACTTTTTTTGCCCTATAAAATTATCATTTTAGAATGTCCAAAAGAAATTATCATTTCTTTTTTTGGAAAGTTTTGCGTGATTAACATTCATTTACCTTTTTTATTCAACCACAATTATACGTTTTCACTCTATTCCTACTTTCTTAAACACGATACATGTCCAGTAGAGAAGAATTTTATGATACGAAGGGAGTACAAGTTATATATGATGGAATTACAACAATTATAATGGCTCCTAATATATGATGAATTGATGATAATGCACTTTTATGTTGTATACACTACAAATATATTTTTTGCATAATATGTTAACCATTTTTTAATGAGAATCAAAATTTTAGAGCATCTCCAATGATTTGCTTCTAGGGACTTGCTTGCAATTTTGAAGCTACTAGGTTACCATTGAAGTGCATCTATCCTTTTAGTTTGGGAAAGCAAATTAGCCAAAACAAGCTAATTGCTAGAAAGGAGAGAAACTTGAATTAAAATGGTAATGCGATGGTGATGCTAGCAAAATTTATTTAATGTGTTTGCTTAGTTAATTTTAAGCTAGCATATTTGGATGGCAACGTTTTGGAGAGCAAAATTTGAATTGATATTTTAAATTTAGTATATTTATTTTATTTAATGTGTTTTCTTTGTTAATTTTAAGAAATGTTTAATTTTCTCATGAAAGATTTAAGCTAAAGTTGATATTTTTCAGTATGTATGTGTTGTTAAAATTTGTCATTTCTTAATGTTTTATTTAACAAAATACATATTATTGTACTAATTTTAGAAATATGCTTTTTCACCCTGATCGGCTTAATGTTGGGCATTGGATTTATGTTTGGTCAAAGTCATAGTTGGCGACTAACTTGATCGATCTGTCAGGAGTTTGGTTACGTTTCCTTGTCAACTTGATCGATTTGAAAATATTTCAAAAAAAAGTATATTAATGAATTCAAAATGTATATTTTCAAAATTGATTGATTGTGGGGCCTATTCAAAAGGCAAACAATGTGGCTAACCATCGGATTATCACATGGATTAACTAGAAAAAACTGACGTGGCAAGCAAAACTACAACATGTTTAGCTAACCATTGTAGATGCTCTTATAACCATTTTTTAATGAGAAGCTGATCTAATTAATCTATTCATTTTGAAGTAATGAATGCTCTGATCCATCTTGCTTTTCATGGAAAGAGTACTTTCACTTGAACTCACCTATGAAATAATGCGTAGTATGTAGTATAACTTATACTCGGTATTAACAACAACATACTCTCCTTTTAACACAAAACGTATAATTTTCTATTCACTTTTGTTCTAGAAAAAACTACCACTACAAATAACATTTCTATTTTAAAAGTTATGCATTTTGTGTTGAAAATTATAGTCTTGCATAGTTAGTATAAGTTACACTCCGTACTTTTCAAGTGTTATTCCTCACATCATGTTTTCTTTATAAACAAAGAGGGGATTGTCTGAGAATTTTTTTACATTTAAAGAAAAATATAAGAATCCTATTTTAAAATATCACATTATTTTAATGATATTTTATGAAATATTCAAATAATCAAATAGGTAGTATATATGAATGCGGAAGGGAAAATAAAATAAATTAAGAGGAACTGGAGAGATTGTGCATTTATATTTGGGCTTCGGCGTAAAGTTATTTAATACTCCATAAAAAAGGAAATGAATTCTATTGTAGATCTTGATCCACACACACGTACACACGTACACACATATATATTACAATATTATAATTAAGCCAATGGACTACTACGTATAAATAAGTGTGACAAAATAAATAAATAAATAAATAAATAAATAATGATACGATTAATGATATACGGAGGAGTACATTATTATATATGATGAAAAGTAGTAAGGTACCCTTAATAAGTTATTAATTATTAATAATGAATGAATAGCTAATTAATATACCTACAATGGTGAATTAAATAAGAAAGGTTGCAAATATAATAAAGGGCATGCAATGCGCGGTACATATAGTACGTACCATTCGACAACAATGGCGAGAGGAGCGAGGAAAGCGGTGGCAAAGATCCAGCGGTAAGCCACCATAATGGTTACCGGCATGCCGTCGTTGGCCGCCACCTTAGCCAGCACAATGTTCCCCGCCAGGAATATCGCAACCACCACCATAGCTCCTACTTGTTCCACCTTCTCAATCCTCTTCATTTCTTTCCCAGGCCAGCACTTCGCGCTTTGATTGAAAATTGAAAATTATGAATGTCATCATTATAGCTAGGTAAATTTATTATGTCATACAGATTTTATATATCACTCGATGTTTCTTACTCCGTATATCACTATTCACTACTGGTGTACATGATTACTCCCTTCGTATAAAAAAAATGTCTCACTTTCTTTTTTGAGTTGTATCAAAATATGTGTATCACTTTCATTTTAAAAAGAAGTCACTCCAAAAGAGTTATAGTACAATTTAATAAAGTAAACAGTACTATGCAATACCAAAAATCTCTAACTTTTTTAAAAGAGTTTAAAATTAACTTATGAAATATCTTAAACTACGTGAAAAATCTATTGAAACACCTAATTTGATACAGAAATAATTATTTAATAAAATATGGAAGAGAGGGAAAATGGAAATAAATACTACATGCGTGATTGTGTGTGCTACATATAGGCTATAGTTTGAACAAATAATATAATAGGGAGGATTTATATATATATACATACATGCGATTAAAAGAAAGCCTGCAGGGAGTAGCGTACGGTATATATGGTGATGCATGAAGCATTGTTTGGGAGGGCAGTCCTATTTATGCGGCCGGGTGAAACAGTAAGTACAGCTAATGTACGCACTATTCTTATGCGGACAGGTTTCAATTCTTGAGTCGAATGAACTCGGGTTAATGTGTATGTTGGACTGGACTCCACTCATCATAATTACCCATATATTGATTCATACTTTCTCCCTGTTTTTAAATTTTATCAAGTTTGATCCGTACCCAAAATAACTAAGTAATACGGAGGGGTCAAATGCATAAATGGTACCTTAACTATTGGTAATGTTGGATTTTGGTACCTTAACTCTTAAATGAATCAAAACGGTACCTTAACTATACATAAATATTTCAAATTGAGATTTTATTCAAATTTTTAACAAAAAAGTCCTTTATGACGATCAAAATTTCATGCATAGAGTCACTCTATAGTGATCACATGGACAAAAATAAGGTAAAGTAGACTTTATGCATAGAAGTCTGACTGCCACGTGTAATTTTTTGGTCAGAAATTTGAATAAAATCTCGATTCCAAACATTTATGTATAGTTAAGGTACCATTTTGATTCATTTAAGAGTTAAGGTACCAAAATGCAACATTACCAATAGTTGAGGTACCATTTATGCAATTAACCCTAATACAGAGTATTTGTATGGTTGAGACTTGGAAAAGGAGGGAGATAGGAATAACAAGACAACATACTACTGAAAATTTTAAGATAATGAGCGTGTTTAGCATTAAGCATTTGGGTTAATGGATAGCAATTAACGGGTTATGTTAGTGGGTTGTCAATAGCGGATTCAATCACTAGCGGCCTAAGTTGGCGAATTGCGAGAAGATGTTTGGTAATTTAGCAGTATGGTCATAAAAATTAATAGAAAACGCTATATTTCAAAACATTAATCCAAAACTCTATTATTTGCAGCGAATCCGTTTTAGCGGTGTCATCCAAAACACTAGGGCCAAACAGCTATTTACTCCGTATCAAATATCTTTTTCATTTATTAAACGCTAAAAATGGTCAAACAACCATTCTTTTTGTTGACACGTCATTTTCCGAACACCCAAATAAAAAAGAAAAACTTAAAAAATGGTAAGAGTCGGAAGTATATGAATAACGGAAATTGTCCTAAATAGGACTAATGAGTTCCTAAAAAGTACAAATAGGACAACTACTTTTTAAATTCCCTAAATAGGACTAAACATAGATTTTATGCCCTAAATACCCCTAAGAGTATTAATTCATAATGAAATGCTTTAATTCATAATAAAATCATAAAAAATGTAAAAATATTTAAATAAAACGTAAAACAATTATAAAAAATTTATAAAATAAAAATTTTTATTTTTTTTTTATTTTTTTCTAGTTTTTTAAAAAAAATAATAAAAAATAGTAAAAACCCATAAAAAATGAAAAAAAATATGGATACCTTTCCCACCGCCTCCCGCCGCCTCCCACCACCACCTCCTCCAATTGGTGAAATTTCTTCCACTTTTGTTTAAAAAAATGCCATCTTTTTCTGAAAATGCCAAAAAGATGGCATAATTACTCTTCAATATGCCAACATTTTCAGAATATGCCATTATTATGGCATTATTTAAAATGTTGACATATTTTTCTCCGGTGATGGGAGCTGACGGTGCTTGGGTGGCAGGGGTGGTGATGTGTTTTTTTTTTTAATTTTACGATTTTTTTTTTAAATATTTTTTATAAATTGTTTTAAAAAATATTTTTATTAACTTTCTATTATTGTTTTAATGATTTCTAGTATTTGTTTCGATTTTTATTATTTTTTTATGATTTTATTATTAATTGAAACATTTCACAAGTTACAAGGGTATATTTGTCCAAACACACATAAATAGTCCTATTAAGGGAATTTAAAAAATGTAGTCCTATTTGTGCAATTTTGTCACTTTTTAGTCCTATTTAAGGAATTGACTCTATGAATATTATGATAGCATCCACCGTACCATTTGTCCACAACCATTGCTACTATAGATAGCCGCTACCCAAACATCTACCCATTCTGTCTACGTCTATGGAACTGGAGTATAGAATATATGCCCGACCGAATTTGATGCAATATTCTCTTTTTAGGGGTCTTATTTAACGTGTCTTAAGAAATAAATATACGTACTACAAAAGTATGAAGTATGAAAAATTGCACATTAGTAGACAAATTGTACACATTTCTGTAAGTAAGTATACCCATTAATTTCATCAACTATGTGAAAAGGATCATGAAAAAATTAAATTAAATTAAAAATAAAACATTCGAGAAAATGAAAGAAAGAAAAATTACCTTTTCCTGAATGTTTTATTTTTCTTTATTTACATTTCTCAAATGTTTTATTTTTCCATAATCTTTTTATCACATAGAGTTTTTCCCACAATTCATGGAATTAATGAGTAGATTTATGTAGAAAAATACGATAATGAAGAAAGGAGAAAAACATATTGATGGTAGAATTAAGATAACAAGAAAAAAAGAAATGAAGAAAGAAGAAAAAACATAAATAAAGTAACAAGAAGAAAAAAGGAGAAAAGTGAAAAAAAAACATAGCAAAAAGTAGAGTGCGAAAAAATATTTAATAAGAAGAGAATGATTAAGAAGAAAAACATAAAAAGAGAAATGAAATAACAATACAGAAAGAAAAAGAAAACGACAAAAAAGAACTATTTTGAAGGGAATGTTTACAAAAAAACTCTCCCAATAGATTAAGAAATAGAATAATAAAAGCGGGAAAAAAATAATAACAAAATGATAGAAAAAGTAATAAAAAAGTGTCTAGGGATGAAAATAAAGAAAGAAAAATTTTAGTGAGAAAAAAAATGAAACATGGAACCGTTTTGAGCAGATTTGTGAAAGGTGAGACTATTTATATAGAAGTTTTCAAAAAAAGGGTAAAAAGCAAGGTATAGTAGGTCATTAACATGTGAGATTATTCTGAGATTACGTAAAGGTGAGATTATTATGAGAAGATTAGTGAAATGTGAAATTATTCTTGTTAATTTTTCTTTTAAAAACCGGTAATTATCTGTCAATTGCCCATGCACATAGGTTGCGTACAACTTGTGAAAAAAGTTTAGTACAATAAGAATTGACCATTCACTATTGAGAAATAGGTCCAGCTCCCGTCCTAACTAAATCACCAATTTGGGTCAACCATGTGACATGACAATTCATTTTTTTGTGCTATCCCCGTCCCATTTTTTATTGAGGCACGAGTCATAGTCTTTTTGTACTTTAGTACAGGGATAAGACTGCGTACATCCGACCCTCTATCCCACTATTGGTGGGAGCCTTTGCGACATTGTGGCAAATGAAAATGATGACTTCTGTCCCATTATATTCAAAGGTTCCAAAACACTATTCACATGGTCAACTTAAATCATTCTTAATGTTTTGCTTTATATATCAAATTTAAAATTTCTTGATCAGGTTTTATAAACTTTTTAATTTAGTTTCTAAATATATAAATTTTATTTACTAAAAATAATCAGAGTATGAACAACATAACAAAGATCAAGTTGCTTTATCGTCAATCAAGTACCGTAAACCGAATCGGGACGAAGGGAGTAATTGTTGCTCCCTACGTTTCATTTTAGTTGTCCTACTTTACTTTTTGGGTTGTCCCAAAAACAATGTCATGTTTCCTTTTTTGATAAAAAAAATGTGGTCCTTATCATTTCACTTTATTCTACTCGATCAAATTTCAACCAGAACTTTTACTTTCCAAGCACTTTATTAATAATCGTGTCAAATTAAAATATGACAACTAATTTGGGACAAAGGTATTATAATTTATTATTTATGGGTCAATTTTAATAAAATATACTACTCTGTGATTTGGTTTGCAAATTTGAATTTTTTGGTCAAACAATTTCATTTTAATCAACTAATAGGATGTTAATTCTTAATTATATTTTAATTTGGAGTTTGTAATTCGATTTTAATGTAGTTTTCTAATGTAAATTATACCTATTTAAATATGTAAATACGACCAAAACAAAGATGGTTTACAAAAATATGCCTAGTTACTAGAGTGGTAATGAAATCATAGTAATTCATGTTCAAGTGTTGAACTTAATTAAATTACCACAATACTACGTTGTAGTAATGAATAGTCATATTTATGTAAATAAGTTTTATTTTAGTAATATTCTTGTAAAAAAACCTTTTACCAAAATTGCATATGTAAAAATTAAAAGAAAAATAGGGCTAACCGAATTAGTAGGATGGTGTAAAAAAAAGACCGAATTAGTATGATAGGACATCCCTCAATATGAGTTTTACGAAGAATAAACTTGAAATTGTTCAACACGAGAATCAAATGGTCAATCATAACAAAGTCCACAAAATGATCAAACGGTGAATAACAAATCTCCCAGAAACAAAACATGTCGTAATCTGACATTCATGCGGGTTGGTAGAACTTTACCAGGTCAATTGCACAACTGGTGCAAAATCACTAACTCACTATTCTAACAATACTTTGGACCATGGGGTATCGATCATCATTCAAAAATAACTGCTTAGCCTCTCTGGTCAGCTTGAATATGTTAACAATCAATGTTATCTCAGTGATACCAGTCATTTAATGGTTCAAATGAACATTGAGTTTATGCGCAAGACAAGCGGCCTCCCTTGTTTTGTTTCAGAATATCTTGGGGTGTAATGTCCCCAAATATTATTAGGCTCTCGATTGGGCTGAATGAAGACAGTCAGCACTGAATTACACAAATTAATAGACTTTGCATCCTGTAGTGTGCCTTATAATCCGATTTTGCCCATATTATATTTGGTGAATTCTATGGTATCCATAAGGTACCATACCTTTGTCCACATGGACAAATGAGAATGTAGCAATTGAATTATTTAAATCTAAATTAAAAATCATAAAGTGATGTGGTCCAATCAAATGAATGGTAGGTACGGTACCGCATTTTTTAGAAGGGTACCGGAGTTGTCACCATTATATTTTGTTAGATATGCACCCA